ACCTTCCTCATGTAGGCATACACTCACATGTATAAGGTTATACCAAAAAATAATAACAAAAGTAATAGTTGTGCTCATAGATCCACATGTCTCGCTCTCTGTCGTCTGTCTCTCTCTTGTCTGTCTCTCTCTCGTTCGTCTCTCTCTCCAGCTGTGCCTTTGCCAACACTCCTAAGTACAGCCAGGTGAAGTCAGCGGGGGGTCTGATTGTGAGGAAGGAGTGGGTGTTGGACTGCCACAAGAGGAAGCACAACATCTCCTATAAGAGGTAGGAACACCTGGAGCCCTGCCACCACACACACACACACACACACACACACAGGCTGTTACAGACTGTTGTTTTTAGTCTTTAACACAAGGACAGACTGTTCAATTAGTCTTTCACACAAGGACAGAATGTTGTAGTACTCTTAAACACAAGGACTGGTCACGAGAGGTCATGGTTTACAGTGATTTCAGAACCGCTAGGAGACGTTGTTTGGCATGACACAAAGCGAAGTGCGTAAACCCCCCTATCACTGTAAATCACGGCCTCAAGTGGCTTATATTGCTTTTATAAAACGGTTACTAAAACACCTGACTACCTAGTAAGAGTTTGCAAAATAAACACACAGCAACATAAAATGCGGTAATTTATTGTAAACAAATCACCATTCTTCCGCCAAGCAATATAGTTCCTCAAGACAGCAAAACGGTTGCCAATCATCACAGGCTAGCATACATGCTACTCAGGATTTAAAGATTGGGGTGATTGTTAACATTTATCTGGACATCGCCATTCATTGTGCAATTGTTAAAGGGAACCCTGGCTATGTCGACTTGTAGTTCTTAAAAGATAAATGTTAGTATCAATTATTATAAAGTGATATAAAAAACCGTCTTAATGTCTTCGTTTTTATAAAATGTGTAAAAAATAGTTTAACTCGTAGGCCGCCATTGTTGTTAACGTCTGGGTAGTGACGTCATATGGTTGCACTTGCCGGCTTCGGAAACCCTGTTGAGACTAGCGAACTTATTATTTTCCCAATATACGGCTCTGGTTGAGACTATACAGCGACATAAACATGTAATCTATTCAGCCTTTTCAATTTGAACCCGAGCGAAACAGCCTCCACGACCGGGAGAGTGCTGCCCTTCCCAATCGGAACCGGGTCACCAATAGGTAGCCTCACAGCTCGATAGCCGGCGGCGCTGTCCGGGTTGCTGATCCTCCTGCCGGTCAGCTAGGAGCAGCTACGGAGCTGTCCAGATTGCTCAGTGGTCCCGCCTTATTAGATAGCCTACCTTATTTTCACATGTATACATTTGTTGACATATCTATAGAAAGACCATGTTATTTTTCTATATCAATAGTAGGATGTTTGTTGTTTATCTATTAGCTTCAATCAGTAACTCAAGTCCTCAGATGAAAACCCACAAAAGTTAATGTTAAGTATTAAAAAGATGAATGCTCTGGTTGCAGGTCTTACAGATATGCCTCATATCGGCAGTTTACATGGTGGATACATGGCAGACTAGGGAGAAGAATCCGCAGTCATTCCTGCATGTGCAGTTACCAAAATAAGAAATGTCTACCCAGAACCAAGTGAAATCTATACAGGGTTTGAGGATGTAGATATTGATGATACAGAAGTAGATGAATCACGGAGAGATTTCAATTAAACATTTAAAACATTTTAATGCATTTCATCATGAGCACTTTAATGTCTTGCAATGTTTAAACAACTTTTTAAAGCCAATGTGGATGTAAAAAATGCTGGTGTGCACATCATATGTGTATAATCATAGACAATCACAATCATAGACATAATCACAATCATAGACACGTACAACTGGCGCAAGGGGTCGGCGGCGATGTCGGCTACCCACCCGACCCGTCTTGAAACACGGACCAAGGAGTCTCGGCGCAATGATGCTATAGGTTTAGGTATACGTTTAGGCTCCTTATGTGAGAAAATTGTCGGGAAAGCATTTGATTGTAGTCTTCGTTTATACCCAGCCGCTCCGACGAGCTCTTTCAGCAGTTGTGGTCGACTAAAAGCCTCAAATGCGTCGGGAGAAAAATGTTGTGAACACAGCCGCGGATCTTGTGGAAATTGTGTCCGTCCACAGGCATCTTCCCACTTTCTCATCTTCTTGTCAGTAGGAAAGCGGTGTAAACTCACATCACTCCCCTTGTTGCCTTTTGACTGGAAGTCGCACCCAAAAGCAGCACAATGTGGCATTTTACTTAACTCTTAAAAACTTTTACTCTAACTCTACGCGGGTAAACAAGCACTAACGTCAATAGCTATTCTACCAAGCGCAACCATTCTACGTCATCGATCCCATAGTGCATTGCGCGCGGATTACATGGCGGCGTACGTAGGTCAAAATATGTACTTTATTATATCTTTTTTAAAGAAATGGCAATATTTTATGTGCTTCTAACAACATATTTTACTACAAGAGAACAATAGTGGCGTATTAGGGCCTACAAGTCTACATAGCCGGGGTTCCTTTTAAAAGACTGTGTTTGACTCTGGACAGGTTAGTTTTAATTGCGCAGAGCCCACCAGGTCTGAAAACCGCAAATGGACCAATTGGTCTGTTTGGACGGTCCCGGCTTCATTTCTTTACTTTTACCAATCTTCAATTTCTTCTTTAATTGTTATGCAGTCACAGGTGTGTGTTGTCCCACGGACACACTGAAATTGTCTTTGGGTCCCAAAATGGAACCCTTTAAGAACCCCTGCTCTGTTTTAGGGCTGGGCAATAATTCAATGTTATCTTTTATCGTCTTTGACATCATAGTCATAAAATGATCAAAAATTAGGTTTGAAACATCTTTGAGAAAGGAAAACTAGTTGAAGATACTATACTTTGCATTTCCATAGACTTTAGACACCTTCAGTTAGAGTGTTTAGAATGGTGTTTTGAATTCATAAGCATATCGTGATATTTATCGATATTGTGTAAAATTCCCCATATTTTTCTTGATAATTCATTTTTTCATATCGCCCAGCCCTACTCTTCTTCCTCTCTGCACGGTTTTAGAAACATACTCTTGCTGCACTATTTTGTAGCTGCTCCAGTACTTTAAATAAAAGCCACTTCCAACTCCTGGGTGTTGTCTAACTATCCCTGCCACTGACTGCAGTTCTCCCCGCGGTGGAGGTGATTGGCTGCCTGCTGACATGCCGTCAGCAGGCAGCCAATCACATAATCATGTTTATCTGGGTGTAGCTCGCCTCCTATCAGCACCTGTTTGCAGCAGCCTGGGAGTCTGTTGTGTGCTTCGTACCGTACAGGGGGCACTGCTAGTTTGGGGATAAATGAAACGGCTGCCACAGACTGGTACGAGGCGGCAATTCAACTTCCGCCCTCAATGTGCCAAACATGGATCGTTTTCACTGTTGGTTGCAAAAATGGCGATGCAAGGCTAATCTACACCCTCAAGAGTTGTGTGTAAACCAATAGGTGAAATTTCCTCTCCTCCTCCCCTCCATATCTCCTCCTCCTACCCCATCCTCTCTTCCTCCTCCTACCCCCATCTCCTCTTCCCCTTCGTCGTCCTCCACATCCTCATCCTCCACATCTCCTCCTCCTACCCCCTTCTCTTCCTCCTCCTCTCTCCATCTCCTCCTCCCCCCCCCATCTCCATCTCCATCTCCTCCTCCTCCTCCTCCTCCTCCTCCTCCTCCTCCTCCTCCTCCTCCTCCTCCTCCCCTCCTGTGTATTATACAGTGAGTAGGGAGAGCAGCTTTGATGATACTCTGTGTTTAAAAGATGCATCTGCTATGGGTAATTAAAACCGCCACTTACTTTGATGACAAGTACCCAAACACACACACCCACGCGCACACACACAAACACTCGGTCATTTAGTATTGTTATGCAGAGTGCTGGCTTGGTTTGTAACCAGCGTGCGTTCACAGGCCCTCTAAGCCAAGCACCTCAGAAATGTTCTCTGCACCGTGGTGAACGTGGTCTCTCCTCTGGGATCCATGTCTAGCTGCATTCCTCTCAGCTCAACACGGCCTCAGTCTACTGTCCTCCTTATCTCCTCTCCTAGTGCCCTTCTGCCGTCTCCTTCTGTCCTCTCAGCTCAACACAGCCTCCAACTACTGTCCTCTCCTTAGCTCCTCTCCTAATGCCCTTTTGTCGTCTCCTTCTGTCCTCTCAGCTCATCTCCTCTCCTTTTGTCCCTATCTCCTCATCTCTTCTCCTAGTGTCCTTTTGTCGTCTCCTTCTGTCCTGTCAGCTGAACACAGCCTGCATCTACTGTCCTCTCCTTCTCGCCTCTCCTAGTGACCGTATTGAATATAACCCTGTTACTCCTCTATAGAGTCTATATGTTACTGTGTGTGTGTGTGTTAAGGTATCTGATGGATGGAGCAGAGGACAGCTCAGAGAGTGAGATGGAGATGGAGAAGGACAGCGAGGAGGAGAGGGAGACCCGGGTAACCTTTGAATCTTCACTCACCCTTTTACATTATTAAAATACTAAAATGTGGTGGTGAACATTAGAATATAATGGGCTAATAGCTGATTCCTTTAGCCACTGTCCAGCTGTTTGTCTCTAATCCTCTGACATGTGATTGTATTACATACAGGTATTTTAGTTGTACCGGTCATCCCGTGTTATGAATGCTGCTAATGTAAATTATGTCATGATACAAAGTGTGATGTCCGCCCTTCTGCAGCAGGGCTCTCAAGAAGAAGGGAGCTAATATATTACAATCATTACAATATCTGTAACTTTTAGACCCCCCAGAAGGCAGAAAAACAGGCCACACTCAGGAAGACCCCGATCAAGACGGAGGATGATGAGTACGGAGCCTCCACCGACATAGAGGATGGTCAGACCCCCAGATTACACCATCATAATACCAGATTACATCATTATACTACCAGATTACATCACAGTACAACCACATTACCTCATTAAACTACCAGATAACATCATTATACTCCATATTACTAGTCTTGTGAGACCATCCTGTTTTATCTCTGCGTTGCGAAACGACTTTAGCGATCGAACCTAGAACCTTTTGTCTGGGAGTCAAACACCCTAACCACTGGACTATCCTGCCCCTACTTGTGCATGATTCTCATTTCTATGCTAATGTTAAGAAAAACCATGAGAGCACTTTTCCCTCTCCTAGCCTCCTCTCCATCACCATGATGGACACAGCCCTAGCCGCTAACAGCTAGCTGCTAACACACACGCACACACACACACACACACACACACACACACACACACACACACACACACACACACACACACACACACACACACACACACACTCCTATCTGTTATTGTTGAGATGAAAGATGAGTACTGGATTAGGGATTAGGACCAACAACCTTCTCTCTCTGTCCATTCATGAGCTGTTTGGTATCTTAGGAGACCGCGATGATGATTCTGCCATGGATACAGAGGATGAACTTCAGAGGTAACTACCTGGTCCCGTATCTACCTGTCTTTCTGCCTGTCTACATGTCCCTCTGTACCTGTCTCCCTCTCTACCGGTCTCCCTCTCTACCGGTCTCACTCTCTACCTGTCTACTTATCTGCCTTGTCTCCTGGTCTGTCTACCTGTCCATTCACTAAGCACTAGCAAAGCACTAACTACTCCTAGAACCTGACATTTTATTCTGATTTTGCACAAGAATTTCTGCTTGGACTGTCAATATCTTACATCCATGAATGTATGTACTATGGGGTGGGGGTTATGTGTTATGTTTTTTTTAACATTGATTGTTTGTTGTTCCGTCATGAGCCACGGATTCACTGAGTCAAATCCCTAACCACTAAGCAGTATGGTAATAAAGTATTGAATCTGGAGTCAAGGGATTAAACTCCTAACGCTGGCAGTGTTAATACCTTACTCTACCAGTTGAGATAGACACGGCCATGAATTCTAAATAGTCCAAATTGTGAGTTATGAATTATTAATACTGTCCGTTCACAATCATGAGAGGCCAACAGAGCAATGAGTTTGTGAAGTTATGAAGAAATTATTGAATTAATAATAGATTGACAGTCAGTAGCCATCCAATTGTGGTCCTGGTCTCTGCTGTCTTGGTGTGTGTGTGCGGACGTGTGTGTGTGTGTGTGTGTGTGTTTGTGCGCATATTTAAATTATCAATTCATCCTCATAAAAACCATAAAGCATAACCACAATATAAATAATGGACAAAAAACACTGCTTCAAGCCCAAACCTTACAAGTTACTACAGAACCAAGCACAGAACCAAGCGCAGATGGACCAAAACGCGGACAGACCCAAACGTGGGTAGAACCAAATGCGGATAGAACCAAACCCCTACAGGATCAAACCCCTACAGAATCAACCTACAGAACCAAGCACCTACAGAACCAAACCCTACAGAATCAAACCCCTACAGAACCAAATCCCTTCAGAACCAAAGTCTACAGGATCAAACACCTACAGAACCAAGTACCTACAGAACCTAATCCTACAGAACCAAACACCTGCAGACCCAAACATACTTACGACTCATAATAGGAAGTTATCGCTATGATGTTGAGGTAGCAGCTAAGGAGCTTGTGTAGCTAGTTGTCATGGAAACAGTCAACAGAGCACGGAGACGCAGCAGGTTTTTTCAGTGCTTAATCCCAGTGCTTCCCACTAGTATATGTATATTATATGTGGACATGGGCCTTTTAGTGGGGTGGAGGTAGCTCGGGTGTAGAGTAACTGGTTGTGTTCTGGGTAGGGTGGAGGTAGGGTGGATGGTAACTGGTTGTGTTCTGGGTAGGGTGGAGGTAGGGTGGATGGTAACTGGTTGTGTTCTGGGTAGGGTGGATGTAGGGTGGGTGGTAACTGGTTGTGTTCTGGGTAGGGTGAAGGTAGGGTGGATGGTATCTGGTTGTGTTCTGGGTAGGGTGGAGGTAGGGTGGATGGTAACTGGTTGTGTTCTGGGTAGGGTGGATGGTATCTGGTTGTGTTCTGGGTAGGGTGGAGGTAGGGTGGATGGTATCTGGTTGTGTTCTGGGTAGGGTGGAGGTAGTGTGGATGGTAACTGGTTGTGTTCTGGGTAGGGTGGAGGTAGGGTGGATGGTAACTGGTTGTGTTCTGGGTAGGGTGGAGGTAGGGTGGATGGTAACTGTGTGTTCTGGGCAGGGTGGAGAGTGGTAGGCCTACTGCAGGAGAGAAGAAGATAAAGACGGAGGACCCATACGGAGGATCCACAGACGAGAACACAGACGCAGAGGAGGAACAAGATCAGCCAATCCCTGAGCTCCCTGGTAACTCCCCTCCCCAGCCAATCCCAGATCTCTGCTTGTACATATCAGCACCCATTGGATCACCGCCAAGTGCCTTGTCCATCTTTCTGTCTTTTTTTCTTTCTCTCTTCTCTCTGTTTTGTATCCAGACTACCTGACAGGAAAGAGGTTTTTCCTCTTTGGTAAATTCCCAAACAACGAGAGGCGGCTCCTGCTGCGCTACATCACTGCCTTTAACGGGTATAAATACCTTTAAATACCTACAAATACCGCCTTCTGATGGTAGAAACACCTTCTGTATTCACCACTGATGATTAACACCAAAGTCTGGAGTTATACATGAGTTTCAAAAGTGTGTGTGTGTGTGTGTGTGTGTGTGTGTGTGTGTGTGTGTGTGTGTGTGTGTGTGTGTGTGTGTGTGTGTGTGTGTGTGTGTGTGTGTGTGTGTGTGTGTGTGTGTGTGTGTGTGTGTGTGTGTAGGCAGGTGGAGGACTACATGGATCAGAAGGTTCAGTTTGTTGTGACCAGTGAAGGATGGCAGGACTCGTTTGAAGACGTGAGTCTCTCTACCTCTCTGTACCACTGTCTCTATATATCTCTACCTCTTTACATCTACCTCTACCCCGCTCTCGCTACCTCTTTCTCTCAATTCAATTCAAAAATAACTTTATTGGCAAAATGAACATTTACATTGCAGCACTTTAAATGAAACAAACGGAAAAGTAACAATGGCGACTTAAAAAAGATACAAATAAAGAGTAGTATAAAATTGTACCTCTCTAACTCTACCTTTCTGTCTACCTTTCTCTCCATCTGTTTGTCTGTCTGCCTGCCTGTCTGTCTTTCTGCTAGGCTCTGATGGAGAATGGGAACCTGAACTTTGTGAAACCTTCGTGGATATATGCCATCAACGACCGACAGAAAATGCTGCCCTACCAGCCCTACACTGTTGTCCCCTAACACACACACACACACACACACACACACACACACACACACACACACACACACACACACACACTGCTTCAACTCTCTCTGGGACTGTTTAGTTTTTTAGTTTACAGTGTGGTTAAATGTTGAAACCTTTAGTTAAACCTGTTAAATACTCTCAGTAAACATGCTGAATTATTTAGTAAATACTTTGGTAACATGTTGAATGTCGTAGTTTGACAATACATCGTAGTAACTTGGTATTTCAGTGTCTCAGTCTCGTGGATATCAAGTGTTTGTTTGTCTTGTTTTCGTCTAATAGTACTTGATAATAAATTGATTTTTCTAATTTCATTGGCCTCGTTTTTAATCTGTCTGGCATGCTCTCATGGCCACTGGTTGAATCCTCTCTCCTTTTTCATTCTCTGTCTCCTTCTGTCTACCTCTTTCTGCTCCCTATCTCTCCGTTTGCCTCACTCGCTTTCATTGTGTTCAACTTGTCTTTTATCAATTCTATAATTCAGTCGGCCGTTTTATCCACGATAACTTGAGGTGTACTTGATTTAAGGCCAACTATACTGCACTCCTCTCGCCGCTGCGCCGTTCCTGTAGTCTCTCTTAATGGCTTTCATCATGAAGTGTGCTGTTGTGAATACCTCTCCCCATTCTCTCCTCTCTCGCTCCTCTACTTTCCTCTCCCTCGCTTTCTCCTCTCCTCTCATCTCCTCCTCTTCTCCCCGCTCGCCTCTCCTCCACTCTCCTTTCCTCCACTCTCCTTTCCTCCCCTCTCTTCTTTGCCCGCCAGCTGCAGCCTCTAGGGCTCCTCCTCCTCCTCCTCCTCCTCCTCCTCCTCCTCCTCCTCCACTCTCTTTTCCTCCCCTCTCCTTTTCGCCCGCCAGCTGCATCCTCTAGGGCTGCTCCACCACCTCCACCGACCCTCCTCCACCTCCACCTCCTCTACCTCCCCCTCCTCCTCCTCGTCCAACTCCACCACCTCCTCCTCCACTCTCCTTTCCTCCCCTCTCCTCTTCGCCCACCGGATGCATCCTCTAGGGCTGCTTCACCTCCACCGACCCTCCTCAACCTCCACCTCCTCTACCTCCAACTCCACCACCTCCTCCACTCTCCTTTCCTCCCCTCTCCTCTTCGCCCACCGGATGCATCCTCTAGGGCTGCTTCACCTCCACCGACCCTCCTCAACCTCCACCTCCCCCTCCTCCTCGTCCAACTCCTCCACCACCTCCTCCTCCACTCTCCTTTCCTCCCCTCTCCTCTTCGCCCACCGGATGCATCCTCTAGGGCTGCTTCACCTCCACCGACCCTCCTCAACCTCCACCTCCTCTACCTCCACCTCCCCCTCCTCCTCGTCCAACTCCACCACCTCCTCCTCCACTCTCCTTTCCTCCCCTCTCCTCTTCGCCCACCGGATGCATCCTCTAGGGCTGCTTCACCTCCACCGACCCTCCTCAACCTCCACCTCCTCTACCTCCACCTCCCCCTCCTCCTCGTCCAACTCCACCACCTCCTCCTCCACTCTCCTTTCCTCCCCTCTCCTCTTCGCCCACCGGATGCATCCTCTAGGGCTGCTTCACCTCCACCGACCCTCCTCAACCTCCACCTCCTCTACCTCCACCTCCCCCTCCTCCTCGTCCAACTCCACCACCTCCTCCTCCACTCTCCTTTCCTCCCCTCTCCTCTTCGCCCACCGGATACATCCTCTAGGGCTGCTTCACCTCCACCGACCCTCCTCCTCCTCCTCCTCCTCCTCCTCCTCCTCCTCGTCCAACTCCACCACCTCCTCCTCCACTCTCCTTTCCTCCCCTCTCCTCTTCGCCCACCGGATGCATCCTCTAGGGCTGCTTTACCTCCACCGACCCTCCTCAACCTCCACCTCCTCTACCTCCT